AATTTATATTCTGGAATTGTGCTCTAATAATTTGAGCAAGCAATCTTGCAAAAACCAAACTGCAAGTTGATAACAAATGCACATGTGACCATAAAATAGATGCATCTATTAAAATCATATAATAGTAAACGGTCCACATGGCAGGTAACTGGGCCCTTATATATATATATATATCACCTTTTATTTCTTCCAGAAATCAAGGGATTCAATCCCAACCTTTAACTAGTATATCATGAGAATAAGCAGCACAAGAGAATTTTTGAAGAATCTTCTATTCTTCAATATATGTCAATGTAATTCTTAATTAATTTTTAGCATCATAATTGAACCGAGATGGTCAACCGGTCATGCCAATTAATATTTGTTTTAGTAAACCTCTAGTTTACTTGTGGCATATGATTCCAGCATCATGCTTATATTTGTGTAGTACAAATAGAAAGAAGATCGGGTAACCTTTCATATTTACCCGGTATGATTATAGAAATATGAAGATATTCAATCTTCCTTTCATTTATAGTCTCAATATGCCAATCACTTTGACTTATATATTTGAAACTCAAAAAGTTTCTTTTGAGACTTTACAATATCAATGTCATGAATAAGTTTATTCATCCGGGTAGTAACAAATTAGTTTTTCCGGAGTTCTTAACAACTTTTGTACTACAAGATCTTTTATCATACCATTCATATGGTAAATGTCTCCTTCACGGAGAAAATTATATCATAATAAATTGTCATGGTCAAAATCATCATAAGCAAAATTATTTCTTGCTTTAATTTTGCCTTTAATAACTTTTATAAGGCATGACAAAATAATATTTGGCATATCACATGTACGCGACCAATGACATATTCATGTAACCACACAATAATATTTATTCTCTTTATTTTACTCAAACCTCCCTTAGAGGTGAGTTGTGTGGTATTCATATAATCATGAATTGCATGTCTTTATTCATTGCTTTTATCACATATTGTCACATTCAACTTTAGGAATGAGTTTGCATTCTTAATGCTTATCGCAAGTTACATTCTCTTCAAGGAATGGATCATAATCAGCGACGTGCTTTATTATTTTCATACCAATTTGATGGTAAGCATTGCCTTCACATTTTGAAGGACTATTTTGAGAACCCTTATTGTTCTCCTTTTATAATCATAGTGATGATTATTATTATTTTGATATTTGGAACGCCCACGTTCATTGTTCAACTACTTGTCTTCATTGAAACTTATTATGCACTGTTATCACATTCACTTCAAGAATGAAGCAAATCAAGTGGGACAATTTTTATGCCTTTTCATGAAAAATATATTATTTTTTTTTAGTCATCATTATATCATCAATATGGTACATTGGGACTCAAACCCAATGTCTTACCAATATAAAGGCATGTTAGGCCATAATAAATTGGGACTCAAACCCAACTCTTATCATTATGGAGCATCAGGACTTGATCCCGATGTCTTACCCTCAATCAATGTCATAATAGGCTAAACAATATTGAGATTCATTCTCAAGCCTTAATTTCAATCACATGCAAAGAAAGTTATACACAACTAATTTGCAACTTAGCAAATCAAATTTGCTTTCTTAAATAATTGTACAAATCTCAAATTAGCGTAAAGCTTTATTAATTATTTGTAGCATCTATATGAAATACAACCGTTTGTAGTCAGAATATTTCTTCTAAATTCTAATAGAGTTTAAAAGGATCATAAAATCGTTGTCATAATATTTATTGAGTCCCTCTCAAAAATATTGTTGTTTTTCGGGTATACCCTACCTATTGGATTTGATTTAACGTCATGACTTTTCTTCACTCAATTCAACCAAGCAATTAATGAATAAATTTATCAAAAGTACACCATATAGGTAACAACACATATATAGTACTAATACATAAATTCAGCATTTATATTACCTGAAAAGTGACATTATAGGTAACAACTTACCAGTTGTAGTTTGTGCATCATTCATATAAAATACTTAAAAATGGTAAGTCAGTAGCAAACATCAAGTACGTCATGGATACTCAAAAATACTTCTTCTAGTAGTCATACTAATCATTGTTTGCTTTCAAATGATACGACCATAAATTATGAAGTATACTTTCTCAATAGCTGGTTTGTTTTCCAAATTTCAAAGAAGTAATTAATCAACCTAGATAAAGATGTGAAGTATTTCTTGTTTTCTTCAAGATGATTTATGCTTTTAATCAGTATGACCAATTTTATTTTATTTTTTATTCCTTTTTTTTTTTGTGACTATATGCAAGTGTAAAAATCCAAAAGGAAAAAAAAATATTCATCCAAGTAAAAGAAAATGTTTAAAGCGGCAGGACAGATTGAAGATAGTTAACACATAAATATGCATAAGACAATTTATATAAAATATCCTTGGTTACCATGACATGCATCATATCAACAATTAACTGCTACTATGATTTTCACATATAGAACTTCAAAAATTTTATTCCATTCATGTGATATAAAAGATGTAATATTAATATGTGCTTATGCAATACATGTGTAGCACGAAGTTGTGTGCATATGAGATTTTAAAGGAATGACAAGTATAAGATAATCATACCTTCTCACATTTCATTACTTACCATATGTAGTTTCTCTTTACATTTAACCATGTGATGATATGTATGACTTCTAATTGTAATCTTTCTGGATGTAGGAAATTTTTTGTAGATATATATACAATTGGTTAGAGACTCGTGCTGATAACGTGTTATGAAATAAAAGCAATTTAGTAAAACATGAACAAGAAATAAAGACAATTTAGTAAAACATGAACAAGAAATAAAGATAGAGAGAAAGGAAGAGATTTTCTTCTTAAATTGTGTGTATTTTTCTATCTATTACAAAACCTTTATATAAGCATGAAAAGTGAAAAAAATATATCATGGAATATGTCATTGAATATGTCATTAACCATTTGAGAGAAGGATCATGGAGGAAGAGTAGACATCCACCATATTTTGATTTTTATCGTAACAGAAATAAAATTTTTATGGAATTATTCCAAAAAAGTAGTCAACGTCGTTTTCTTACTCCAAATATAACTGAAATGCGTGGTCCACTTTAAAACCTGTTAAAAAGCCTTCATTGCATGATATCCAACCGTTCTTCATTCACATTATCTCCCTTACTTGGCTTTTCTCCAAACGTCACCTAAAACCAATTAACCCCCCACCCCACCACACCCCCCTACCCCTTCATTTCTCCCTTCCTAACTTGTAACTAAATATAAAATTACGGACATTCTCAATTTATTTATAAGTACTACACTATAAAAGCATCCTCTTCTTTATATTCCATGCTTACTACCATCATTCAAATTCCTTTTAGCCTTACTCCTCTTACCAACAAGAAATAGTCATCCTTTTGTGCTTGTGTTTTACTTTCTTGGTATACTTCTTTCTCTCTATTTTTCTTGTCTTTTCTGTGTTTAATCTTTGAATCTTTCTGGGGTTGATATTTATAGGTTTTTTTCTTTTGCAGGCAATTAAATTGAGAAGAAATACAGAGTGGAGATGATGGGATTTGAGAGATTAATGATGAACTTGAAGACAAAATTGAGGAGGTCTCTGAAAATGAAGGAATCTTACGATAAGATTGAGAAGAGTGAAAGCATGAGAGTGGAGATTAGGAGCAAGAAAGCTCGTAAACTCATCGAACAGACTCTTCAAATTGCTGACTCCCCCAAAACCAGAAGCTATACTTTCTAGTTACTGCTAATGTTTTTTTGGTACTAAAAATGCCTTGTAATGACAAATCTCGTCTCAACTTGATAAGAAATCAAGCCAAATGCAGAAACTTAGTGGAATCTCTATTTTCTTCACTTCTCATTTTCATACATATAACACACGGGAATAACTAGCAGTAATTGTTGAGACACATGATTCGATACTAAGCCAATAGTACTAACGGGCTGTGTCTCCATCTGCATCATTTTTTTTATTTTTTTTGTGTTAGAAATTCACTGAATTCTAATATCTGAACTCATACCAAGTAGGTGTATTAAAGAGGAAAATCACTTTTTATCAAAAAATTCTTCATTTTACTTGAACTTATTAAAACCTCTAGTTAAGGATGTGCTATGTCTGAGCTGTGTAATTTTAGGAAAGGAAAAATGATAGTGTATATCTGGTCTAAAAATAATAACCGAAAAAATATAATTTTTTTTATATACAGTCAAACATTTCTATAACAACCTCGTTTATTTTGAATATTTTTGGATGTTATAGCGAAGTGTTGTTATAACATAATATGAAAATTGATTCCGGAAAAAACGTGGCTTTTATAGGGAAGTGTACTTTTATAAGAATATTATTATAGAGAAATCCGACTTTATACATTTTTGTATGTTATATATAATATACAAATTTTATGTAATTTTTCGGCTACCGACTATAAATAGTTTCTTTTTCCTCATCTCACTAACATTAATTGCATCTAGACACCTCTCTCCCTCTCTCTCTCTCTCAACAGATCTTAGGCAGAGCACCTTTTTGGCTATTTGTTTTGTTTGGCCTGTTTAGCTTGTAATCTTGCATTTGCTGCCACTGAACTTTCACCTTCTTTTTCTTTCCGGCAGACAAGAGAAGAGTTAGATTTTTATAAATTGACATAGAACATATCCACTGTAACAACATTTTTGGGTAAATTTACAGCACAATGACAATAGAGTTTCAACTATAAGTTCCTTTTGAAAAAAAGACATCAAAGTTGAGTGAAGATTTGTGTATTTTTATTTGAATTATTGGAATTTGAATGCTGATGGTATTTGAGATTTAAAAAGTTTATCGCAAAACAAGATAATGAAGAGAAATGGATTCAGAAGAATTACATAGCCAACCTCAACTAGTTTGAAACAAAGGTAATTGATTAATTGGATGTTGATACTTGATAGTGAGTGAGATTATATTTACTAACCACAAAAATGCTATCTCAATCTTTGTACTTATAAATAATCACATCTTAGTCATAGTACTTATCAAAAAAACAAAAAGGAAAAATCCCCATGTCAATATTTGCAATCCTGTCTAATAGGGAAAATTGATAATTGCATATGAATCTCGGGTAGATTGCCCTAGTGCTTAGCAAATCTACCCAATGATTATTCTTATATGCTCCCTCGTCTCATAATTTATATTATATGTGGTGTTTTTTCTTTTACTCGCTCCTTAAGAAATAGTATTAATAAAGGATTGGACTGTTCTACTCTTATTTATGTCATAAGATATAATCTCTCTTTATTGAATATTTATTCTATTTATGTGTTATCTCCATATTCAAGAATAATTATTACTAAGGGTAAAAAGGAAAAAAATAATCAGCTTTATTTTAAACTTCTAAAATAATAAATAATTTGAGACAATTTTTTTAGTAACCACGATTGTTTAATACGAGACGGGAGTACTACTGCTATTTAGTGGAGAGGGAGTAATAAAATTGTTTAGTGTGAGTGATCTAAGAAATGAAAAAACAAGACAAGGAATTAATTAGTATTGCATGCTGTCTTATTGTACTGTTGCCTAGACTGAGATGTGATTAGATTGCAATAAGACAAATGATGAGTCATTGACAGAAAAAGCAAGAAAAAATACCCCAACAAAAATTAATAAAAGGCATGCAAGTTTGGCTTTGTGCCTACTTTTGATTGTCAGCACAGCTAATTTTTTAGGCAAAAAGATGGTAAGAGGAGTACGGCAATGATAGAGAAAGTGAGAGATCAAGCACTACATGTCTCTATAATGATGTGGATACTGCCTTGACATATCCCATGTCAGCTGCTGGATCTGTTTTTTTCCTCTCTTGACATGAATTTTTGTTAAAGATGTAATCCACCATAAATTAAAAAATATAAAATCACTACTTATTACACTTTGTTTAGGACTATGTAGAAGTATACTAAAAATAAAATAGCGAACCATAATATTTTTTCCACTCAATGATAAAGAATATAAACCGGCACTTTATTTACTAAGAAAATGCTTTATTGACAAAAACCATTCAATGGACTATTTGCTTCCTATGATCTTAGTTAAGATTAAATCAGTATCACAAACATAATTGATAAATCGGTTATAATTCAAAAACGGATGGGTAGTATATATGTTGCTGAAACGTATCCCTGCCCCCTTAAGAATTTGTCGAATTGGGCAAGGATAGTTAAGTTAGCCAACAATTTGTGATAGAAAATGATTTAATGCCCTTTTGTTTCAGCATAAAAAAGAATAGTTTCATCACCAAGCTTGGTTTGATGCAATGGATATGCTTTTTTGGTCCTGGAATTGGCTGACTAACTAAAAGGCACATTCTAGGAGGCCACCCTCATTGCTTACTGTCGTGAAGAAATGGTAAGTTTCTGATTGTCTTGTTCTGCTTCCTTTTTCTTGTCGCAGTAAACTAATTCTCCATGGTACTTAATCGCGTCATTTACCACTTAAAAGAGTATTGGTGAAATTACAAGTAATTTACATGTAAAAAATAAGATAGAAGAAAAATAAATAAATAAATATTCTTCAAGCTAAGGCGCAGATATCTCGTTCTCTTTAAGGAGATTCAAGTTCACTACGGTAGTATCTTCACCGGTCCAGCAGTAATACTCTTGACTTGTCCCCTCCAGGATACAACAACCCAACAACGTCGTATGACTCGAACAAACTCTGGACAAGTTGTTGAGTTCAAAGCTCCACCAAAATGAACACCTTCCTTCAGCAAAAATAATATTCTCTTTAGTAGAGAATTGTTGAAAATGTCAAAAGTGCCACATCGGTGGGTGACATATTTGGTTGGGATTTTTTCCCTATAAAAGGAGGCCTAATGTTTAGGATTTAAAACACACCTCTCATTTGTCTTATTATCTTCTTAAGGCATTTGTATCTTCTCTCTTAAGTATTATTTCACTTGTAATTTTGGAGTGGAATAAAATATTGGTTGTGTCCGAGGAAGTAGGCAAAATTGACCGAACCTCGTAAATTCTGGTATTCCTTTTATTGTTGTATTATTGTCTTATTTATTATTTAGTGGCTGCCATAATTTTTGGTATAGTAGTTGTGACTCATTCACACTATATACATTTGGCTTCCGCAACAATTGGTATCAGAGTCAAGGTACTGTCTAAGCATGCTCTGTGGTTGCAGCATATTCTGATCTTCCACATCAGAAAAGATTTATCTTGGTAACTGAGTCAAGGTTCTGTTTGGATATGCTCTGTGGTTGTATCTTAGTCTGATCTTCCACAACAGAAAGGAAATAATCTTGATTTGTGTCGTCAACTATTAAATAATATTTGTGTCAAAGATGGAAGACAATAAACAAGAAGAATCTACATCAAGTGTCAACAATACGTCATCATTGGCATCTTCGCTTATGACAAGAATTGTGTCAAATGCGAAATTTACGGTAGAAATTTTTGACGGGTCAGGACATTTGGGATGTGGCAAGGCGAGGTTCTAGATGTCCTTTTTTAACAAGGGCTATATCTTGCTATTGAAGAAAAGAGACCAGATGTTATTGGAGAAGAAGATTGGAGAATTATCAACCGTGTTGCTTGCGGTACCATTCGATCCTACCTTGCTAGAGAGCAGAAATATCCATACACAAAGGAAACTTCTGCAAGTAAATTATGAAAAGCACCGGAGGATAAATTTTTGAAGAAAAACAGTCAAAATAAATTGTACATGAAGAAGAGACTATTTCGCTTCACCTATGTTCCTGGTACCACGATTAATGAACATATCACTAGTTTCAATAAGTTGGTCACAGATTTGCAAAATATGGATGCAACTTTTGATGATGGTGACTTGACCTTGATGTTGTTGGGTTCACTTCGTGATGAGTACGAGCACCTTGAAACTACTCTACTCCATAGGAATGACGAAATTTCTCTCACAGAAGTTTGTTCGGCTTTGTACAGCTATGAACAAAGAAAGGGAGAAAAACAGAAGGGCGGAGAAGGAGAAGCACTGGTTGTGACAGGTCATCCTCAAAATCAAACGAGGACAAAGAAGGGAAGATCCAAGTCAAGATCTAGACCCAGCAAAGATGAATGCGCCTTTTATCGAGAAAAGGGGCACTGGAAGAAAGACTGTCCGAAGTTGAAGAATAAGGCCAAACATAACAATGGAAAGGCCATTATGGATTCAAATGTAGCTGATTGTGATGATTCAGACTTCTCATTAGTTACAACAGAGCCATCAATATCATCAGACATATGGTTGATGGACTCGGCTTGTAGCTATCATATATGTCCCAACAGGTACTGGTTCGTGGATTTTCAAAAAGGAGAATATGGAGTCGTCCACACAGCGGATAACAGCCCTTTTACCTCGTATGACATTGGTTCAATACGATTAAGGAACCATGATGGAATGATCAGAACATTAACAGATGTTTGATATGTACCGGGTTTGAAGAAAAATTTCATCTCTGTGGGAGCCCTAGAATCAAAAGGGTTCAAAATTATTGCATAAAATGGATTGATGAGAGTATGCTCTGGGCACTAGTGGTAATGAAGGCCAATCGGAAGAACAATAACATGTACCGTTAATGCGGTAGTACAGTTATTGAGACAGTGACAGTAACATCCAGTGACGAAAAAAAGGCAGAAGCAACCATGCTATGGCACATGCGCTTGGACATGATGGAGGAAAATCCTTGAAAACTTTATCAGATCAAGGATTGTTAAAAGGATTAAAGACTTGCAACTTGGAGTTTTGCGAGCATTGTATCAAAGGGAAACAGACAAGGGTTAAATTTGGTACAACGATCCATAATACTAAAGGCATTTTAGATTATGTACACTCTGATGTTTGGGGTCCTTCCAAAACACCTTCATTGGGTGGGAAGCACTATTTTGTAACCTTTGTTGATGATTTTTNTATGGCACA